ACAAATGAAGTGAAAGTAGCCTTGTGCACCACTTCATAAAATGTGGTAGAAGCCTTTTCTAAAAAAAGGGAATATTTACTTAACTTTATCCCAAGAATGCAGGGTATCGTTTAACAGATTTTTGTCTTCTAAAATTTAATTATCTATTTTATATATCTTAATTTTTTAAGCTTCCTTAAATCTTTTTTAGAAGTAGGTATTGTATAAAGCCTAAGCAACAAAATAAATAACAACCACTGCTTAATTAGCACTATATCTTGGAAAAGGCTTACATTAGGTATTACCTCTTAAGCCAAAACTTCCTTGATTTCCACCCCATCTCCATCTTCCCTCCTCAAATTACCATGTATATATTTATCTCTGTACTCTCCTACTACTACCCCACTGAAATGTAAGCTTCTTATGGGTAGAGACTGTTTTGATTTTATCTTTGCATCTACAGGGCCAAACACAATGTTTTGTACATAGAAAGTGCCTAATAAATGTTTGCTAAATAAATTTTAACCATTCCCAGTTCTGTGAAACACCCAGTTGATACAGCTAAATGGCCAGTGAGGTCCCTTGCAAGTCCAAAATTCTGTGACTCAGTCATTTCAGCAAAATAAACAAATTGTAGTTTGATATCATGTAGACAGTTAATTACTTAATGGTTGGTTGCCCCAATTTTTCTTTTAATCTACTTTTCACTGACTCCTGTAGAAACAGCCTTTAATAACTGGCAAGTTATTAATGTGCATCTTGCTAAATTCCCTGGGCATTTACTAGCAATGTTAGATTTATTCCATCAGTGCTCTAACATTCTAAATGAAAAAATGAGCCCTTTTTTAAGGAGAAACAATCAATCAACCAACCAAATCAACATATTCTCCTAAATAAGTGATAGTATTTGAGGGCCTCATACCATTCCAACATGTACCTGTTTCCAAATTCCAATGTGCATAAACAAACCACATTTAGGGGTTCCAACACTGTTTGCAAGAGAAAGCCAAGCCAAAGAGCGTAGACTATCTGCCTCATCCCAAAGGAAGAGATACAAAGACAAAATATGACTATCTAGTTTCATGTTACTAAATATGCCAAACTAAAGAAAATGACAGTGAATTGTGACATTTCAATTAAGAAAAACAAAAATCCCTAAATCTGACGATTTAATTTTGAAAGAAAAAACACCTTTGAATTGACTTTCAGTTTTAATTTCTTGTTGTTTTTTTTTTGTTGTTGTTGTTTTTTAAACCATAAAGCTCTGGTGGCTCTGCCACTAATCAGCTGTGTGGCCTTGGGCAAGCTGCTTAAAGAGTTCTGGGCCTCAATTTCCTCCTTTATGAAATGAAGACTCTGGATTAGTGGTCTCTGGTGTTCTTCCAGCTCCCAAATTCTCTGATTCTATTTTCCTCTTTTGAGCCAAAGTACAAAATCTCATAAGAGGAAATAAAGAGAGAAATGTTGACAATCCCTTAATTAGTATCATAGAAAGGCACCATTAGACTATGTGGTCACTGCAACACAGGAATTTTGGAGAAGAATGAAAAGGGAGATGCTGCCCCCATTAGGACAAAAATGAAAATTTGTTGATTCAATTATGAACAGTCAGCCTGAATACATGAAACTCCCAAGACAGGTTTGACTTTGACCAAGGCAAACAATCCTTCCCTTTTCATTTCTCTACTTCAGTACTTGTACATATTAAAAAAAAAAAAAAAAAAAAAAGCTTAGACCAGGAAACTCCTTCTATCATGCAGAATTGCAACTCCAGGTCTTAAAGCTGTGGTTCTGTCTGGTATCTCTAAGACCTTTTCAGAGGGTCCATAAGGTCAAAACTATTCTCATAATAATAGTAGGATGTTTTCATTTCTAATAAGGTAAATGTCAATAGCTCTTTGGGGGATCCTCAATAATTTTTAAGAGTGTACTGCAATTCTGAGACCAAAAAGTTTGAGAATTCATGTCTTATGCAGATTCCCCACCCCTGTTAGAGAGCTGCAGAGTAAACTAATGTTAAGTGAATTCCATGGTTATACAGCCAGCATGTGTCGGAGATCTGAACCCAAATCTTCCTAACTTTGCCACATTGCCTCTTTTTAATTCAGTCTTTCAAGAAGGCCCACTGCCTTCCCTCCTACCTACCCAATTGAAATTTTTCTGCATTTTCTGGTAGATAGTCTTTGGGAGTTTTGAAGGCTGAAAAGTTTATCATTCTACAGAGATGAGCCTTTCTGAACCAATAGGAAGCTGATCCTCAAATAACAGACATCCCTGGACCCCTCCTGGAATTTTTTCCAGGCCCTGCCAGAGAGCTTATGGCCCATGGACTTAGCTTTTAAAAATCTAGGGTCACCTCCATAAAGACATTGGAAGAGTACTCTGGTGGAAGTATTTATGCTCTAGTAAGAAAATTCTCTTCCATAGAGTATGGTGGACAGAAATACCAATGAGCCAGAAATTCTCTTTCCCTTCCTTTTCTTTTCCTCATCCCCCAACCCTAGTTTGGAGATTGGGAATGAAGCTTTTGGTCTGTGATAGAAGTCATTAAGTTGGTGCCATCCAAAGGGCAAAAACTTTAATTCTATATTTAGTCAGTTTTTTAAATTTAAAATATATGTATATATTTATAGATATAGACACATACATACACATATATACATATACATATACATATACATATATACACCCACACATATGTAACTTCCAAGTACCTCTAACCTGATGATTAATTACAAACAGCCTTTGCTTCAGTATTTCAGATACAGTATGGGTACGTCTTTCATGGGTACAAATCAAAACCCCCTCTGCACCTTAGCTAGAAAGCTTCATGAGTTGCTTTGTTCCAAATAAGACATCACCTGGTGGCCAGACCTTTGGTGATGAACTTCTCTGAATTTAGCTAGAACAGGGATATATAATCTGTCATCAGGACTATAATTAATATTTTTCCAGGTTACTAGGAACTACAAGAGTATGAAATCCACTGGCACAGCTTTCAAGAACCCAGAGCCACCTCCATTCCATGATAAAGCATCAGAGAGAAGATCAGAGGATCAGCTTTAAAGCTGGAGGGACCTTCAAGGGAAGATTTTCATCCCTTTATATTGAGAAAGAGGGAATTGATACTCAATTTACTAGTGGCTTTATGCAACAAAAGCAACTGGCCATCTATTGGAGTAATCTTTTACCAAATGGTAATTTTTAAATGGGTCTGATTCTGCCCCTTGATCCATAGCAAAGCTATGTTAGCCAAGCCTGGTCATACTTAAAACGATTCTATCATAAAACTAGTCTGGCCTTCTAAACTCCTTCTGATGGTGATAACTTTGTTCACTTTAAGATCAACATAGATATACACCTATCTTCATAGACATACCTTATTTAAGAATTACAACTGATCCACATCCAGAGAAAGAATTATGGAGTCTGAATGCAGACTGAAGCATACTATTTTTACCTTTTTCTGTGATTTTTCCCTTTTTTTCTGTCTCTTTCACAACATGACTAATGTCTAAAATATGTTTAACATGATTGCACATGTATAACCTATATCAGATTGCTTGCTGTCTTGGGGAGGGAGAGAGGGAGAAAAATTTGGAACACAAAATCTTATAAAAAATGAATGTTGAAAACTCTTTTTACATGTAATTGGGAAAAAAATTTTTATTTAAATTAAATAAATTTAAATTTAAATAAAATAAATTTAAATTAAATAAAAAAATTATTTAAAAAATAATTATGACTGGTGGACCAATGTAGGGGGACCAGAATGAGGGGTCGTCTAGTTCCATCTCCTCATTTTACAGATGAGAAAACTGAGGCCCAGTAAAATGAAGTAAGATCAGCCCCGATAAGATCAAGGTTACATAGATGGTTAGTGGAAAAATAGCAATTAGAATTCAGGTTCTCTGACTCTCGGTACAATAATCTTTCAGTGCTTACCAAACATAAAGACAATGCTTAGCATTCAAAATTTACATAAGTCTGTAAGCACCGGTGATTAAAGCATGGGGATAATGGAGCCAAGGCTCCAAGTACAGAGAAAAACTGTTTAGGGTCTATAGGTAACGTATCTCCTTACCAGCATTTCAAATGTAAGTCAAGTTTGATCATTCTTAAAAGCATGCTGCTCTCTAGTGGTTAAAGTCTAAATTGGTTCTGTGACTTTATGCCCCAATAATCAACAGAAAGCAAATTCAATGTCAACTTCATGTTTCCTGCTTTTCAGCCTGAAATGTTTTTAGGGTGCTATTTTAGGGTGAGAGAGCCTGGCATGATAGATATAGTGGAGTCAGAAGGCCAGGTTTCAAATCTCACTTCTGACACATACTTAGCTGTCTGTGACAGAGCAAATCACTTAACTTCTAGGTGTATTAAGTAACTCCTTAGGATTTGCCTACTAAGGAATTCCTACAAAGGGAGTTGTGACTTGCTATTAATGAAGGGAGCTTCCACACTGGGAGTTTCCTGTCCTGCAGTAATCACAGATACTTCTTTATTCTGGTACTCCCTTCATATGATGCACTGTGAGAGGAAATTGATCAACAGTATTTGCTAACTTGCCAGGCAAACCCAGACTCCAGTACACGTTGCTAACAAAAAACCAAACACATATGGCATAGGGCTAATATCCTGTTGCTGCTCAATAAACGTTTGTTGAATGTAACTGAAGAGCTTAACCTTATGTTAAGTAATGTACTTTACACTTCCCTCCTTTTGTTTGTTGAATGAATAAAGCAATATTTGTAAGACATACTTAGCACCTATTCAGTCCTGGCTTTAAATCCAGTGTATAACTCTGGGTAAGTTAGCCTTCTTAGCCTTAGTTTCCTTAACTGTGAAATAGGGTTAATATTGCTTGCACTACCCCTCACAGGGATGTTGCAAGGAAAGGACTTTTGTAAACCTTAAGACCTTACAACCTTACATGTGAAGGACTGGAGAACCAGAAGGGTTCTAGACTAGAAGGGTTCTCTAGAGAGAAGTCCAAGAACCTGGGTTGTCTAAAGCCTGCTCACCTTTAAGATAAGCGGGTTCTGTAGCATGGAGTCCCTTAAGACCCCCAGCCTCTCATTCTCCATGCCTGGGCGCAGGTCGGCTATGGCCAGGGGTCGCCTCGGAGGGGGGCAGATTTGGCTGACCGTGCGGTAGACTGGCTTCTTCTTCTTCCATCGGGAGGTTTTGGGTTGGAGGGCTTCGGGGGCCTCCACCCCGGAGGCCGCCATCCCTGGAGAATTTCCCGGGAAATGGGCCTGGGAGATCCTTCAAGTTCCGCTTCCCTAGGGTTTAATGCAGGTCCCGGAGCCACTCCTCTGGTTCATGCCACTCAGCCCTCGGGAGGATTGTCCCCAACCATCCTAGTCCGAGAATCCACAAATCACTTCTCTAACACTGGATGGAGCTTTAAGTAACGTGTTTAAACTTTTCAGTATCTCCAACCTTGTCCCAAAACTATTCCAGAGTAATTCATAGAGGCAAGGTAGGAAAGACGACCCCTCTGGAAAGAATGGAATGGCTCATTTCTATAGCAACAAGACGCCAACAAGACCGACTTTCCTTTCCACTTATTTTCGAACATAGAACACTTCACATCAACACTCTTTGACCCCTGCCCCCGAGCTGAACTTTAAAGAGCCTCTAACACATTTAAATCTTCTCCACTACCCTTGGGACAGGTTTACATATGGTCGGGTAGTGAGAGAAACACTGACTAGGGGAGTCAGGAGACCTGCCACTTAACTCATTTGGGTAAATCACTTCACCCCCTTTTGTGCCACACCTGTAAAACGAGGGTTTTAAACTAGAATCTGGTCTCCAAGGTCCCTGTGACGTTCTATGATTCTGTTGTCCTGCCTTAGCTGAGAACTTGCTACGTGAGTCTAGGCAAGTGACTTTGCTTCTCTGGGACTTATTTTCCCCATTAATAAACTAAGAGAGTTGGGCTAAAATGATCTGTAAGGTCCTTTCCAGATCCAATTTATTTTTGTAGCTGTGCAACGGTGGTGGTGGTGGTGGTAATAATGATGATGATGATGTTAATGATAATATTTTAAGCTTTACAAAACATTTTACATATATTATTATCTCATTTATCCTTACAGCAGCTCTGTGAGGTAGATATTATTATCACCACTATTTTACAGATGAGAAAACTGAGGCTAACAGAGGTTAAGTAAAGGTTACACAGTAACCATCTGAGGCAATATTTGAACTGGCCTCAATCAGAAATACCTGGGATCAGATTCCACTTCTAACCTATAAAGAATCCACTATGCAAACTCTAGCAAATCACTTAAACTCTCAGCATTCTAGGCAACACTATAAATTGCAGAGAAGATGCAAATCCACATTAGGAGAGCTAGTTCTTGGGATCTCTCCACATCAATTAAATAACGGTCCCATTTAAAAACAAATACTTCTGAGTTCCCACCCCCAATACACCTTTGTGGAACCTTTATATTGCCTTCAAATAAACTTTTCATAAACAAATATAAAAAATACCCAATTAATGCCACTGAACTGTGAATATCTCAAGTCACAGTTATTCTTTTCCTTAATGTTGAACTAACCTTGAGTCCATTCATTAATTCATCCATTCCTACCATTTTTATAAACCGTCTAAATGTACTACAAATTGAATTGCGGATACCATAGCTATGCTGCAAAACCCCAGATGTAAAAATAGACAATATCAACAGGAATATTTCTGAAGCAGTCAATGTACAACAAGCCAACATGCAAAAAGCAAGAAATTCAGGCTACATCCCTATAAAGAAAAAAGCCCAGGGTTGTTTCCTGTCCATGCTTTCTCATAACTGACTAATTTGTGGTTTCCATGTAATCTTAGATCATTTGCGCTAAAAGGACCCCTAGTACAAAGAATGTCAGAGTTGGAAAGGCTCTTAGATCACAGAATGTTGAAACTGGAAAACTTTAGAACATGCATTGTTAAAGGCATTGATTGTTCTTTCAGCTAAATTCTAGCACCGAGGCTTTCACAAAAAGTAGGTCCATAATGATGAAGATAATGATAGCTTCTCCACCCACCCCACCCCCCCATCCCCGCTCTAAAATGCAATAATCTGCTAAACTCATTCCTTGGTATGGGGTTCCTAAGTGAATCTTTAGGAAAAAATTTCTTTTGTTAACTGTATCTCAGTATAATTGGTTTCCTTCGTCATCCTACGTATTTTATTTTAGGAATTTAAAAACATAATTCTGAGAAAAAATCCACAGGCTTCACCAGATGGCCAAAGAGGCTTAAAGCACACAAAAAAAGGCTAAGCATTCCTGGGAAGCTCTTGGTCCATCCCCCAACGCCTAGGAGGGAACGCACGGCCCATTGAACTTCCCTCTGATTTCTCCAGGCCAACCTTCCCGCCCGCAAGGGTGCTTTAAATAGCGTCCTCCGTTGCCATGGCAGCAACACGTGGCCTGCCGGGAGGGATTCCGGAAAGGGGTGTAAGTTTCAGGCGACTTCCGCTTGGGTACTTCCTGGAGAGAGCGAAAGCTGGCCGTGCTTAGCGACTTGTTAGTCAAAGTAAGTTGGGCTGCGTTTCAGGACCTGTGGCGAGGGCCCTACGGCAGAGCACGTTGGAAGTGAGTAACTGCCATCTTTCAAGACTGAGGGAGGCACGGTTGGGAACGAGTGTTTTCCGTTGTTGTTTTCTCCCCTTTTGGGGGGTGAGGGGTGGTCTGGAAGCGTAGCGCATGGAAAGAGCCGGGTACTGTTATTCAAGACACATGGGGTCCAGTCCCAGCCCTATCACTCACTTTCCATGTGACCGTGGAATAAGTCGCCCTCACTTCTTTGGCCTTAATTTCATTGATCTGTTCAGTTTGGAGCAGGCAGGAACCCTAAATGCTATGCAGTCCAACCCCAGAGATTACAGTGTTAGCCCAATGCTTGTCCTCATTCATGGGGAAGTCAACATTTATGTTACTAGTAATAGTAATAATAATAATAATAGCTAACATTTATATAGCACCTGCTATGCTCCAGGTATGGTCAAAGCGCTTTACAATTATTATCTCATATAGTGGTAGTAGTGGCTAACTTTTAAAATATATATGACATTTATTTTATATTTATATAGCGCCTGCTGTGTACCAGGCACTATTCGCTTCTCGCTATTTTTTTCCCCTGATATATGTGCTATTTGCTTTTCAATTGTTATCTCAGTAGTAGCAGCAGCAGCTAACATTTATATAGGGCCTACTGTGTGCCAGGCACTGTGCTAAGTGCTTTACAATTATTATCTTATTTGATCCTCACCACCTGAGAGGTAAGTGCTATTATTATAACCATTTTACAGATGAGGAAGCTGAGGCAAACATAGGCTAAGAGACTTGCCCAGGGTCACAAGGTTAGTAAGCATCTGAGGCGGGATTTGAACTCAGGTCTTCCCCATTCTACGCTTAGTGCTCTGTCTACTCTGTTTAGGTTTCTAAACATCTGTCCTTCCAGTTCAACAGACTCATGATCTGTCTGCTCCTTCACCCCACCTCAATCCTATGTAGGGGTGGTCATTGTTATAGATATAGAGTAGAAAGGGACAGTAGGGGTCATATCTATCCTCATTTCACAGATGAGGAAATTGAGGTCCAGAGAGGTTAAATGACTTTTCAGAATGGTAAATGAAGGTAGGATTCCAACCCAGGTCCTCTGACTCAAAATCCAGCATACAGTCATAGCACAATAACTTTTGCTTCCATTGTCCAAAACTGAAATTCTTTTCTCTGAAAAAAATCTCCTGTCCTTGGATCTCTTCCCTCATTCCTAAACCTATTGTCCATCCTCACCATGAACTCTGATGCTAAAACCCCTCCACATTCTTTTAGTTCATTATCCCACCTGTGATCTCACTTCCTTTCTTTCATAGTCCAGTCTATTGTGTTTGATCAGTTCAGTCATAAACTATTCTTTACCCTTGAATTCCTTGTCTCTTAAATAGTCACACTTTCAAACCCCTTCCCGGGAATATCCTGACTGCCCATATGATCCATTCCTACCAACAAGCTGCTAGAGAAAATTATCTGCCCTTTCTGACTGAACTTACTACAAATTTGTAGTTACTAAAACCAGTGGGTCTTCACTACTACAGTCTTTAATCTTATCTTGTTGGCTCAGTTTCACACTCTACACAGCAGTTACTCCAAACCTTCTCTTTTCTCAAAATTGCTAGTTTCACAAGCCTTTCCTACTTTCCTGAAAACGTAAATCTGTGTGAACTCTCTCTGTCTCTCTCTCTCTCTGTCTCTGTCTCTGTCTCTCACATTTCAGGGTTCCCAGTAACCCAAAACCAAATCACTTTCTCATTTTATTCTCCAGTGGATTAAAGCAACCAGAGGTTAAGTCACTTGCCCAGACACGGAGGTTGGACTTGGATTTGAATTCAGATCTTCCTCAGTCCAGGCCCAGCATTCCATCTACTTACCTGCCTAGCTACCCTCAAAACACAGCCCATGTGCCACCTCCTACACCTGGTGTTTCCTCTTCTCTCCAGTTGTTAGCGTGCTGTCCTTCACATTACTTTTTATTACCTTGTATTGACCTATCTTTGAACATTGTATTCTCTCTTCCCCCACCCCCAACAGAGTGAGGTTCTGGAGGGTTGCCTTTGTCTTTGTATTCCTAGCATCTGGAGCCTTGCCCTGTTCTTTAATAAATGCTAGTTGAATTGAATTGCCTTTTGTTACACAACTAGAAAGCCCAGAATCTCAGTTTCAATCTTTGGGGTCCTCTGACTCCAGATCTTTTTACACTTCCAACCCTAGGATTTTCCAGCTCTGGAAAAACTTAAGTAGTTCTTTCTGAATAAATGACTAACAAAGGATGATTTAACGAGCAGTTCCCATAAAATAACCATAAGAAAAAAAACTTTTTAAAATGACAACAGTGGAGATTATCCTCAATTGGGGGTGGAACTGAAGTTGTCTTCTGAATCTTTTTAATGTAAGCTGTTTTTAAGCTATCTTTCATTGCTTCCCCCTCCCTCTTCCACTTCAGTCTGTTGTCAAGGCCTTTCAGTTTCATATTAGCTTCTCTCCAATATGCCTCCTCTCCTCTGACAGTGCCGTCACCCTGGTACAGGTTCCCATTACCTCAGTGCTTGGACTGCTATAATAGCCTACTGGTGGGGCTGCCTGCCATAAATCTGTCCCAACTTCAATCCATCCTCAATTCCCCTCCCCACCGCAACATCTCCTGGATCAAATGCCAAAGGCTTTCAAAGACCTTCATAATTTAGCCCTCCCCTACTCTCCTTTGAGATTTAAGCGGCTTAGGGATGCTGGGACCCCAAAATCACAAACCAGTCCTGCCCGAAAGAATTCAACCCAAGTCTTCTTTCAGCCAAAGACAAGGTTTTTTAGAACATCCATCAGATTGGACAAACTCTTAAGGAATCTAAGCATTTGTGTCGCTAATGCAAGCAGGCTAGATTTTAAGAATCTGAGCATTTTAATGGAAATGAGATGAACCTTATATATGGAAAGACTGTGGGAGGGATCTTGGAGTGGCCAAGTAATTTGGGGTGTCTGAAGGAGGGGGTCTAAAGAAGATCTGGATGTGAGTGGCCAGTAAGTTGGGGTGAACAGAATGCCTGGGACCTGGACCGCGTGGCCAAGGGAGAATGGAGATTAATGGTAGGAAGTGGTCGGGGGGCCATAGGGAGGTAAAACAATGGAGGGCTAGGCTAGGTTTAGGGTAACTGAATTGGGAGATTGGGCGTTGCCACCAGGAAAGGCCAGTGGATGGGATTATAGCCTCAGGCAAACACCAGAGATTGGGCCGTGTGGGCTAGTCCAAGGTTTTTCCTTTTTGAGGTCCAGATCCCATGCTCATCACTTCCGATCTTCTTACATCTTACTCCCTGCCCATATTCTTTGATCATGTGACTCTGGCTTCCTTTTTATTCCTCACACAAACCATCCATCTCTGCTCCTTCCCCACCCAGCCCTCTGCTTCCCAACTCTGGAGTGTTCCACCTCCTGGCTTCCTTCAAGTTACAGCTAAAATTTCACTTCCTAAAATCCCATTTCTCTTGATGCTCTCAACATATATAGGGAAGTTTAGAGAAGAAAGGGTTTGGGGATAGGTAATTTGAATTCCATTTTTATATGTTAAGCCTTTTCCAGCCCCTCTTGATTCTAGTGCTTTCCCTCTGTGACTTATGTCCTATTTATCCTATATACAGGTTGTTTGTATGTATTTGTTTGCTTGATGTCTTCCCCATTATACAGTGAGATCCTTGAAGGCAGGAACTGTCTTTTGCCTCCTTTTCCATCCCCAGCACTTAGCACAGTAAGTATCTGGCACAGAGTGGGCACTTAATAAATGCTGATTGACTGACTGACTGACTGAAATAGGCTGCTTTGAGAGGTAGTAAATTCCCCAGTCACAGGAAGAAATCAAAGTAAAGGTTGGTGACCACTTGTTGAATCTGGGATTCCAGTATCAGATTGGATTTTGTAGGAGATGGTCTTTGAGATTCATTACAACTTTGCATTTCTCTCTTTCTGTGATTTTAATGGTCTTTCTCCCATTTGTAGATGAGACAGAGATAGACAAAGTCTGATAACGTAGGAGCCACTTGCCCAGAAGCACATAGACATGTGGAAGGAATAATAGAAGCTGAGGTTCCTATTAATCATTCTCATCTTTGGATGTGCCCAAGGTTACCAATGTTAGGAAGCTGTAAGTATGAGAAGCCCCTTCTCATAAATAATTGGATATTTTCTTTGCCTTTTTAGCATTTAAACACTGAAAACACAATCTGCTATTGCCATTATTATTAATCATCATCATCATTATCATCAATTAGCAAGTAGCAGCAACCCAGAATGCTCAAGGCAGTCTGCTATTTGCTAGAGAAAAAAATGACAAAAGACTTTCAATAGAAGTTTAGTGAATAGAGCACTGGACTTTGAGTCAGAAAAACCTGGTTTCAGTCCTCTGTCTTACACACTTACTAGCTCTGTGACCATAGGCAGATTATTTTAAGCTCTTTGGGTCTACTCATCTCCAAAGTGAGGCAGTTGGGCTCAATAAATTAAGATTCCCTTCCAGCTCTGAATTCATGGTCTTCTACCCATTTTTTTTCCACTTTGGGTACTCCCTCCCCTGATGCAGCTTTTAGCACCTTTGTACTTTAAGCAGTAGTTTTCCTTGAGCTGCTGTGGCCAAAAAATATTAATCACCCTGCTACCACCTGATGATCCTTCCTGAACTTCATGTACAACAGGTGTATAGGCTGTCACTGCCTCTTTGCTTAAAGCCTTTTAAGCTTGGATCTACTAAAGATTGAATTCCTCTATCAAATCCCCAGTCCCCTCTACACTCCCATGAGGTACCACAACAGGACTTTGGTGGAAGCATTTGCTGTGTCTATGATAAATTAGATCTTTTAAACAGTATATGTTGTAATGAGATGCAATAAAACCATTAGAAATTATTGTTCAAAGGAGTATGAAGAAAGAGCTAGGAAGTAAAAGACCTTTTCTCATTTTATGTAGAGAATATCTGTATTTAAACTTCAAGATATTGAAAATCACTCCAAGTTAAATGCATTAAATCCTTACTGTAAGGTCCTTTATTATAAAACTGGGCATCACATAGGCCATTGCTGCATATGAACACAACTCCTGCAACCCTTGACTCTATAAGGAAGGAGTGTAAACTAATGGGATACTTGATGGCACTGTGGGCGGTCTTATATTAGAATTTCAGTTGCAAGGATGTCTTGTGACAATGAAGAGTAAGGATTATATTGCAATAAATCTTAAATGTATAAGACAGTGTATTAAACCCTGATTCTGGACTCATGTCACAATGAAGTATCATTTTATTGTCCCCATTTCTTCATGTCATGATAAAGGAATATATTTTGCAAAAATAAAATCTTTTCATTTATGCTGGCTTACTTCATTAAAATGTTTCATTGCAGGAACAAAATGGATGGAGAATCTGGCAGATTTCAAATTAATACTCCGGGTTTTGTGAAGAAAAAACACAGAGAAAGCTCTGCAACTGAGGAAAAGAATAAAGAGTTTAACCAGAAAGATCTCAGTGACTCTCTCCTGCTCTTTGATGAACATTCTGAAAGGACTGCAGACCAAGCAGATTCCCAGTTCCCCAGTTCTACTTGTATCAGATCAGAAATCTGCAATGATAATGAAATCCTAAAGGATGTCACTACAGCCAAAAAAAGAAAAAAGAAAACTGCAGTCCCCTGTGATATACAGGAGGAAATGGGGGTAATATGTGTCCTTGTGAATAAAGAAAATATCGAAAGTATGGAAAGGGAGAACTTTAGAAAAGATGTTGATATTGTTTATATAGATAAGAAAAAAGGGAAAGGGTTTCTAAAATCAAGTGAAAAAGATGAACTGCATTCAATTTCTGAAGCTGATATAAATGAGATAGAAGATCCAGATCACAAACTTAAGGACAAACTCCATACAGTCATTGGTGGGAAGGGAAATTTCAATGATACACAGAAAACTTCTCATGAGAGCTTCTATTCCCAAGAGCAAGAATCTATCTTTTGTTTAGAAAGAGAAGGTGAGATTAGGGAACCGTTAGTATCTACTGATATAATGAGATTGTCAGAGTCCAAGAACAAAAGCAAAAAGTCTCCAAATAAAAACCATGTGAAATCTAAGGATATTTCCGTGTCTGATGAAAGCCGTGTGACCATGCACACCAATGGGACACAAGTGGTCAATGAAGTTAGTGCATTAGAGAACGATAGGACCCTTGAGGAAGACAGAATAAAATCTGTCAGGAAAAAGAAAAAAAAGGAAAAGACCTCACATGAAAATGATCAGGTATCTGCTTATGATTTTTCAGTACCCAGTGCGAGCTCTGTAGGTGACCAAATGAAAACAGGTGATAGTGTTAGTAATGTGGAGACTCTGGAGGGTGCTAGCACCCTTAGTGAAAGCAATACAGAATTAGTCAGAAAAAAGAAAAAGAAGCAAAAGACTTCATCTAAAAATGATCGAGCACGTACTGACACTTTTTCAGTGTCTGAGATGAACTATGTGGATATACCTTTTGACCAAGTAGTTGGTGTAGCTAATAGCATTGAGATTTTGGAGGGTCATAGCACCTTCGGTGAAAGTAATGTGGAATCTATCAAGAAAAAGAAAAAAAAGAGGAGGTCTTCAAATAAAAATGATGTGGTGCCTATGGATGATTTTTCAGTGCCTGATGAGAACTCTTTGGATATACCATCCAATAGTGTTAATTATGTCAAGACTGTCGAGGGTGATAGTATCCTCAGTGAAAGCAATGTGGAATCTGTAAGAAAAAAGAAAAAGAAGCAAAAGACTTCATCTAAAAATGATCAAGCAACTGCTAACGATTTTTCAGTGCTTGAGATGAGTTCTATGGATGTGCCTTCCGACCAAATAGTAGTGGTTGGTGCAGCTAATTGTGGCATTGAGACTTCAGAGGGTGATAGCACCTTTGTGGATTCTGTCAGGGAAAAGAAAAGAAAGAGAAAGAGTTCCCATAAAAATAAGCAGGCACCTACTGATTTTTCAGTACCTTGTACAAGCTCTGTGGATGTGCCATCTGACCAGATGAAAAAAACTAGCGTTAACGTTGAGACTTTGGAGGTTGATAGCACCTTTAACGAAAGCAATGGGGAATCTATCAGGAAAAAGAAAAAGAAACGAAAGACTTCCACTGAAAATGATCAGGCACCTGCTGGTGACTTTTCAGTATCTGTTCCAGGCTCTGTGGATTGGCCCTCTGACCATATGAAAACGCATAATAATATTAATAACAGTGAGACTATGGAAAGTGATGGTGCCCTTATTGAAAGCATTGGGACATCTGTCAGAAAAAAGAAAAAGAAGCAAAAAGCTTCATCTAAAAATGATCAGACACCTGCTGGGGACTTTTCCATACCATGTACAAACTCTATGGATAGGTCTCCTAAACACGACCAAGTGAAAACAGGTGATAATGTTAACAATGAGACTGTGGAGGGTGCCATCACTCTTAGTGAAAGCAACATGGAATCTATCAGGAAAAAGAAAAAGAAGCAAAAGACCTCAGCAAAAAATGAGGAGGAACTTGCGGGTGACTTTTCATTACCTGATCCAAGCTCTGTGACTACGTCTTCTAACCATATGAAAACAAATAAGATTAATAACACTGAGTTCCTGGAAAGTGATAGAACCCTTATTGAAAGCAATGGGGAATCTGTCCGAAAAAAGAAAAAGAAGCAAAAGACTTCAACTAACAATGAACAGGAACTTGGTGATGACTTTGCAGCTCCTTGCATGAGCTCTGTGGCTAGATCTTCTGACCTTAAGAAAATGGGTAATAGGTTTAACACTGAGACTGTGGAGGCTGAGGGCATCCTTAACAATGGGGAGTCTGTCAGGAAAAAGAAAAGAAAGCAAAAACATTCAACTGAAAATGAGCAGGCCCTTACTAATGACTTTCTAGTACCTGGTCCAAGCTCTGTGGTTGGGCCTTCTGACCATATGAAGATAGGTGGTGATGTTAATGACACTGATGCTTTGGAGGGTGAAAGTGCTCTTAATGAAAGCAGTGTGGAATCTGGAAGAAAAAAGAAAAGAAAGAGAAAAACTTCAACTAGAAAGGATCAAGGACTTGTGGATGACCTTTCAGTTTCTGGTATGGGTTGTATGGGTGAACCCTCTGGCCAAAAGAAAGCAGTCCACAGAACTGATAACATGATGAATTCAGAGAGTAGTAACACTCCTAATGAGAGAGTGAGAGACACCAGGAGAAGGAAGAGGAAAGAATCTCACTCAGAGAAAACAAGTGTAGAAACTGAGGAGAGGTAATATTGGGATCTTAAGCTTTGATATCATTTTCATATGAATTCTGCCACATTATCATTACTTCAGAACCATCCTTTAAGTCAAGGTTGCTTTAAGCACCAAATGATTCTCTTTGACTGTGCATTTGTTGTTCAGTCATTTCAGTTATTTCTGACTTTTCAGGACCCTATTTTGGGGTTTTCTTGACCAGAAACCACTGGAGTGGTTTGCCATTTCCTTCTGTATATGAGGAGGCAAATCTAAACAAAGTTTGGAATGCTAGAGGCAGTAAAATTGAATTTTCTTACCAGATAGATGAAATTATAAGATAGAATTTTTATTCGTGATTATAACCAACTATGTAATTTGATTGGCTCATTGGCAGATAATGACACTTTCAAACATTCTTTTTCTTTTACCATTTACCTCTGATTCCTTAGAACTCAGGCAATTTTCTTCCAAGTTTCACCCAGCCATTATGTTTATCAAGTTCTGATGGTTTGAAATGATTATACACAAGAGTTGATTTAGAAAAATAACCATTAAGGATTCCCCCACAGGACATTTATTAGTTACAGTTTTATCTAGCTATTTATCAAATGTGTGGAGAAACACCTTCAGATCCCAGAATGACCCTTCAGGGACAAACCCCTATTTAGTGTAGTTCCCGTGTTTGTGCATTCCTACTACTGTATGCCTTCTTTGAAATTAATGGATCTATTCCCTCCAAACAAATAGAGAAATTAACCTCTTTAAAGTGTACCTTTAATGGCTACTAACTGCAGTAAATATTTGCTGATGAAACAGAAAAGTTCATTTCATAGCAGCATTGGTCTATCTGAAAGTGAGGGAACTACATTTTAAGCAGATGGTTAAAAGATACTTAAATAGATGATGTTAATGCAGATTCACACCTTTTCTGTTTCTTAGGTTAGTATCTACAAATGAGGAAAGAAGGAATTTGGAAGAAGCTGACGATTCAGATTTGGAAAATTTGTCTGATGATTTTATAGATCTAGATGTTGACTTGGACACTGCAGTGAAGAAACTCCAAGAGTTTATTCCTAATGTGAAGGAAAGGGCAGCTGCTACAGTAAAGCGGATGTATAGGGATGACTTGAAACGATTTCAGCAGTTTAAAGAACAAGGTGAATTTATTTTGTAAGAAAGTCAGAATCATTAATGAGGGAAAAAATTTGTTAGGCTATGCACTAAAAATCAGCAAAGCTCTGGATTCGCCAGTTAATACAGAGATTAAGAACACCTAAAATGTAGCCTTGTCTTATCCTTTTATTTTTACTTTGCATACTGCCTTACATATAGTAAGACTTCTGATATGGATATGGCATATCCAGACCTTAGTCCATTTTTAGGCCACAGCCTAAATTACATGGCTTAGCATAAATCTTATTTCCCATTTAACCACCTTCACAGTGTTTATTTTTGCTGGTTTCATATATTTGGGAATTCATTAGGGATGCAGCAAAGTCATTAGATTGCTTAAAGAAAGTGATTAAAAGATGGGTTTGAAAAAGAATTTTGGTTTTAATAAGATATTTACATTTTGAAATTCCAGGTATGCCTATTAAATTTGGAAAATTTTCTGCAAAGGAAAATGAACAACTACGGAAAAATGTAGAAGATTTTTTATCATTGACTGGAATTGAGACTGCCGACAAATTGCTGCATACAGACAGATATCCAGAGGAGAAAGCTGTGATCACAGACTTAAAAAGAAAGCACCAATTTAGATGCCACATTGGTAAGTTGACTATTCTGATTTCTTGATTAACGTTCAGCATTTCTTTAAACTATATTTTTGCCAATATTTGCTATAGAGGATTTCTTAGCATATCAGCATCCTGCAGCCTTCCATAGCCACAACACAATTTTATACATTATTTATATTACATACTTATATGTGCATATCACTATACACATGTAATGTCTGTAACACACTAGCTCATTGTCATTTGCCTTGGCATTGCTATGGTTCCAAGGTCTGGTCACTGGCTTTGCTGGTTCAGAAACTGGGCTTTGTCAGTTTGTTTAATGATGGTCATTGGTTTGGTTACTGTTTCACATTGACCAAAGTCACTTGAGACAATTGTATAAATAGTTCTTGTAACTTTCTATTTTCACAACAGGGTGATCATTAAAGACCTGGGTCAGGGCAGGCCAGCTGCTCCTGTTGTCAGTAATTTATTAAACTCTGTGTCTTGGCATCTTAGTAAAACCAGGATTTTTCTAAGTCATTCCCTCTTCTTCAATTTTAAGATTCTACAGTTTTCATTTATTTATCCTGAGAAACAAAAATGGCAAATGACCCTGATATTCAGGCCTTCTGGTCAGAATAAAAAATTTTCTCAATGAGAAAACCCACTTGAGAAACCAAAATAATATCAGCAGGTTGCTTGATGAGTAAAAGTAGATTCAAAGTAAAGGGAGTCAAATGGCCTCATGGGAGAACCTTCTGCACTTACTTCCATTAAAGATCTGTACCTGCCAGTTTAGCTGAACTGATTGTGTGCTGACTGCAGGAAAATATGGAAAATACTAAGAAATTTGTTGTTTTGAATAGACCAGGCAAACTGTACCTTTGATTACTTTCTTTTCCTTCTTATTTTTCCCTCTTTAATCTCTTTGAGTCTTATCATTTTTCTATATCCTTTTACAATGTTAGGTACTCAATAAATCAGTTGATGAATAGTCAGATTTTTGACTTTTAAATACTCATTCTCTTTCATTTTCTCGTGGTAATGATTATGATTAGTTTCTGCAGATTTTTCTTAACTCTTTTCTTATTGCAAAAATTAACACTTTTTCCCTTTTGCCAAATATTTTCCCATTTCCATTCTTTAATCTCACTTGTAAATTTTTTAATATCCTTGGCACCCATATGAAGTTGTAGGAATCCCCTCTGGGGAAATGTTGGAATATATGCTATAAAAGAAAATCTGTCTTTAATTCAAGCAGGATAATTTTGGAACTTTTAGGGTAAAAGAGATGAAAAAGAGTGAACTACTGTGGAATTGTTCAGGTCACCCAACAATTCAGCAAACATTTATTAAATACCTACTCTATTATATACACTGCTTATTTGGACCCATAAATATGATACAGATATTTTACCTCTGATAAGGAGAGGTGAGAAAAGGAGAAACATTGGTCAAGTTGAGCTTTGCAGAGCTTTACTAGCTTTGAAAATTACAATTTGTGAAACATTCTGTAGGGAAGTAGAATCATTTTCTCAGATTGTGTTATAATCATTTCTAGCCTCCTAGACATACCTAAATCTCTGCTGGTTTCATTCTTTTCACTTCCTGAAAATACCTTTTTACCTTCTCTACATAACTACCTTTGTTTCTGATTTTAGGTGAAGGTATTCCCCGGCCTTGGAAATTAGTATATTATAGAGCAAAAAAAATGTTTGATATCAACAATTATAAAGGCAGGTAAGAAAAACTTATCTTAACAATTAGATTCAGAAAGTGTTAAAAGCTTCAGTGATGATACTTTTTTAAAAGCCTACTTCCAGAAGTAGAAATATATTTCCACAAATATTTGTGCATAAAAATACCCCCCCAAATTTTTTTATTTTCACATGAAATATAAAATATTAAGATTTTTAAAAAAGTTTTGTTAATATGTAGTGCTCTCTATTTGAATATGGAGATGTAGTAATAGATACTATTTTATTCTCTGAACACTGAACATTATCCCAATTAAAGATTGTAATTATGATTAACACAATGCTTTTTGACAATACTAACTTTTGAACAGATTAATTTCTTCAGGTGGTTTATTTATGACTAAAAAAATTTAAGGATGAATTTTAGAATGAAATCATTTGTCTTAAGAAATCATCCAAAAGTTCTATAGTGAAAAATTCACCTTTTATATCATAATCTCATTAATAATAGTAGAAAGAACACTAGATTTGAAGTCAGAAGACTTGAGTTTGCCTCTGTGATGATCTTGGACAAGTCCATTTCTGGCCCTGAGTTTCTTACTCTGTAAAATGAGGGTTTGAGTAGGTAAGCTCGAAAGTCATTTGGGACTCTAGATCCTGTCAAGCTATAAAAGGCTTCCTAGTTTAGGATATTATTTGTATTGTTGGGAAATAATTGTAATTACATAGAGAATGTTTTTCTTAGTTAATATAGTATTAATATAATATCAATATAGTTATATTTATTACATGTCTATTATAGTAATTGACAATGATATAGTTGATATTGTAATATTTTTCTTAACATTGCATAATGTCTAGAGTACAGGAAAACTTGTTCAAGTCTCAACTTTTACCCTTATCAGCTGTATGACCATGAGTCATACTTAACTTTTTTTAGCCTAAGTAACTAAGACTGTAAGTTAGAATTAGTGGGGAAAGTTCATACAATGATGAAATCACGAGTTCTTGACTCTCAGACATAAAGTATTAACTTTAACTGAGTGAAATTGTAGAATCTTAGTGTTTGAAGGAATTTTAGAGTTTATCTAATCTGACCCAACTTCATTTTATATTTGTTGAATAAAATTGAGGCCTTAAAAATCCTATCCAAGGTTACCCAGAGCTAGTCATTGGCAGAATTGCAACTAGATCCCAGGTCTATTTTACTTTCCATTATACCATTCTGTAATGGTAAGAAAATATTTGAAAGTCCATTGATTTAGATTTATAAGAGGCTTAGACTGATTGTATTTCTTCTTCCTTAGATATAGTAAAAAGGACACTCAAAAGTTAAAGAAGTACCAGTCCATACATGGAAACGATTGGAAAAAGATTGGTGAGATGGTGAACCGAAGTAGCCTCTCTGTGGCACTGAAATTCTCTCAGATTAGCAATAGTAAGTGATGTGTACTTTCTGCTTTAAAAAGAAATAAGATTGATGAAACTGCATTTCAGAAATCTGAGCTGAATTCTGTAAAATGATTTTATTTGCTCTGTTTTTCATGAGCATTCTTAAACATTGATTTATTTTATTTATTGGTGTAAACTTGATGAGAAATATTGTAAATCTATTAAATTGTGCCCTATGAATCAGTTTGGACTCTTTCCCCTCCCAGCCCCCCATTACTAAGAAATAGTGATAGGAGTGATATGTGTAGAAGTATCTTTTTCTTATTGAAATTTGTTTAATTGAATAGCTAAATATTTAAAACTTGACAGTAGGAATTCAAAAATTTGTTAGTGATTCTTTTGTCCTCGAGTGTAGCAGGGGAGGTATTTGACTGAGGGCTCAGGGTCATTGTTTTGTTTATGTTGGTATGGAGCTTGTTTAGGTGATGAGCAGGTTTTAGGAAAAGCAGTTTTTTTGATCTTCTTTACATCAGAGGATTCTCTGATTTCCTCAGAAAAGGGGGTTTCTCTTCTTTATTGCCTTCAATTAAGAAGGTACCCACATTGTATATATATAACGAGGATTAAGAAACTGTCAGGCAGGGTTTTCCCCCCGTAAAACATTACTGTTGATGTTGTGTACAGCTATTTTTGTATTTAGAACTTATTGACCAAAAAAAAGAGAATGATATTTAAAAATATAGTTTGATTTTCTTATGACGTTATTGAAATGAGTGAACATTGCTGTTGCTGATAGAGTGAGGGAAAATAATTAAATTTTAAAAAATTAAATTTCTGGCTTTAAAATCCTTCAAATTTCATACCGTAACTGTATTTCACATGGTTACCTTCAGTTCTTTTTACTTGACTGTACTTTGATCCTATAACTCCTTAAGGATAAGGACTAGACCTGAGGTTTTGTTTGTATGGAGAACTCCCAGGTCAGGAAACTCCCTCCACCAATGCAGGTCATCATCTTCTTTGCAACTTAGAGGGTTTCATAGAGCACTGGGAGGGAAAGTGATTTGTGGAGGGTACTAAGTCCGAGACTCTAGGACCTAGAGTTGTGTTTTTGTTTAGTTGAGATTGTGAGCCTGTCAGACGAGGATTGGTCCATGATTCTTGATTCTGTCATCCATGCAGGACCGTCACTGGAGCTTCTGTAGTGTTGTATTTATGTCTAAGTTCCCTTAGAGTTTAAGAGAACTGCCTGGGACACTGAAAAACCAGGTGACTTGCTCAGGGTCACACAGCTAGTGTGTTGGTCAAAGAGCCTTTAATTAGAGGTAATCTATCTGTAAGGGGAAGGTACTAGCATTAAAGGGGTCAGGCTTCCTGTTGAAAGTGAGATTTTACCCAGGACTTGAAGGAAGCCAGGAGGTAGAGATGAAAAGAGAAAGTATTCCAGACATTGGGACAGCCACTGAAAATGTCTAGAGTCTGGAGATGGAGCGTGTGTCAGAGACGGAACTGATGCTTAGCTCTTACTGACTTACTTGAGTAAGTCTCTCCCCACTGAGTCACGTTGCCTCTTATCTTTTCATGTGTCCATAGAGATAAATCATGGTCCTTGGAGTAAAGCGGAAACTCGGAGACTGATTAAAGCTGTTGAAGAAGTGGTTCTAAAGAAGCTGTCACCAAAGGAGGTGGAAGACATAGACTCTCGCCTCCAAGAAGACAGTTCCCCAGAATCTTTATCAGTTTTGCGGAAACAGCTTTACAAGGGTATATCCTGGGTAGAAGTAGAAGCCAAAGTAGAAACAAGGAATTGGATGCAGTGTAAAAGTAAGTGGTAAGTTTTAAGATTTTTCTCATATTTCATCACCTTTATTTCTAAATAGAGAATAAACCCTTCTCTCCTTTGTAACAAAGAATTAAAAAAAAAGCAGATTAGCAAAACTAACCAGCATATCACAGTTGAATCCTGACAGTGCACCTCATCATTCCAGCATGACTGTTGAATATAGGTGCAAATTATAAAATAAGTCAGAAGTTTGTAAGGCTTTAAAAAATTTTTTTAGAAGAAAGACTACATATAGGAAATGAAATAAATCCCAAGGACAGATAATAAACTTAAAGAGCCTTAAAATGTATAGGGAAACAAAAATCTTTTTAGAAAAAGCTATTGATTACTCTAAGAAGAAATGGGATGGCAAAGTACTAGGAATATTTCAGGGGAAAATATGATGATGAGTTGTTAGAGATTGAAAAAAAACTTTGTCATCTGAGAATAAGTATTTATATGGCTTCCTTAATTGATAGCTTGTGACTGTGATGACCCTTCTATTCTCAAGTTGATATTTTATTTAGGTTTTGGGGAGAGAGGAGGCAGAGTGTTAAGACTGACCTTATTAGAAACTCTTGTCACTAGTTTAAAGTTTTAACTTTCCCTACTCGTCTTAACAGTTAGCCTTAGGAATAAAGAATACACATATATAACTATACCAGGTCTAGTATGGGTTGGATACCTTACCAGTCAATAACAATGACAATAACTGTCAGTTAAGTAAATATTCTGTTAATTTGAGGTGTAAAAATATTGAGCCCTGCACAGTGTGCAGATTTTTCTGATCCCTGGTAAAAATAGATGGATTTATGTCTGTGGAATAGACCTAGTAAATGATAGAAATTGGCTTAACATAGTGGATGAGAGTGATTTAGTGACCTAAAATTACTAAAATGTGTATTTCCTATGGAAGCCTTTCCCTGAAGTGATAAACTTGTATATTTGTCACTTTTAACATAGGCCTGAAATTCTAACCAAGCGGATGACCAATGGGAAGGTTGTGTACCGTGGGACAAATGCTCTGCGTGCCAAAATCAACCTTATTGAAAGGTAGGAAATTTAAAATTGTTCAAAGCTAATCTCTCTAGCCTTTGAAACCTTTCATAAGGAGATCAATCAAAAAATATTTGTGAAGTATCTACTATATGCCACACACTTTACAAAGTTCTAAGAGATGTAGGTGAGGAAGGAGTGTAGTCCAGGCATGGAGGGACAGCCTGTGCAAAGTGCAGAAATGAGAGGTGCGAGGGCCTGTCTGAGGAACAGCAAGAATGCCAGCTTGACTAGATCATAGGAAGGGCAGTAATGTTTATTAAGGCCAGTAAGATTTATAAAAGGGTTTATGTGCCACACCAGGGAGTTTTTATTGACTCTAAAGGCACTAGAGCTACTATTAAATAAGAGTAACATGGTTACACTTGTGCTTTAGGAAAGTAACTTTGATGGTGGTAATGGATTAGAGAAAGGGAATCCTTCAGGCAGGGAGACCAGTTTAGGAGGCTTTCGCTGTAGTCCAAGTAAGAAATGATAAGAGCTTGGAACTAAGGTGGTGGCCATGAGGCTGGAGAGAAGTTGAATTTGAGAGATGCTGTGAAGGTAGAATTGAAAAGATGTGGCAACTGAATGGATATGGGGGGTTAAAAAAAAAGAGCAGTTAAAGGTGATTCCAAGGTTTAAAATCTGAGTGACTGGAAGATGGTGGTACCTTTGACAGAAACAAGGAGGTTCAGAAGAGGAGTGAAAATGGATTTGTTGAACTTGACATGCATACAATACAGTCAGTTCCAAATGGCCAGTAGGCAACTGGTGATAGTGGGACAGGAACTCTGGGTAGATAAACCCTAGGATTCATTTGCATAGAGATGATAATTAAATCCTTGGTAGCTCATAAGGTCACAGAAAGCCTGTGCAGGAACAGAAGAGACCAGGTCCCATGAGAAAGACTTCTAAAACCCCCACATTTAGAGGGTAGGCTATGCAGGATGATCCAGCAGAGGGGACTTTAGTGGAGTTATTGTATAGGCAGGAAAACCAAGAGAGAGCAGTGTCATGAAAACCCAGGGAAGAGAGAGATTACAGGAGGGCAGGGCTGTCCAGAGCATCAGATACAGCTGAGAAATCCAGAAGGATAAGAAGATAAGGACTGAGAGAAGACCATTCGATTTGGCAACTAAGAGAGCATTGGTATTTTTTTTTCTTTCTTTTTTTTAGTTTTCAACATTCACTTCCATAAGCTTTTGAGTTTCAAATTTTCTCCCTCTCCCGAAGACACTGTGCAATCTGATTTAGGCTCTACGTATACATTCATATTAAACATATTTTACATTAGTCGTGTTTTTTTGTTTGTTTGTTTGTTTTGTTTTGGTTTTGGTTTTGGTTTTTTGATGGGGCAGTTGGGGTTAAGTGACTTGCCCAGAGTCATACAGCTAGTAAGTGTTGTGTATCTTGAGGCCAAATTTGAACTCGGTTTCTCTTGACTCCAGGGCCGGTGCTCTATCCACTGTGCCTCCTAGCTGCCCCTAGTCATGTTGTAAAGAAGAATTAAAACCAATGGGAAGAACCACGAGAAAGAAGAAACAAAACAACAAAAAGAGAGCAAATAGTATGCTTTGATCTGCATTCAGATTCCATAGTTCTTTTTCTGGATGTGGACGGTATTTTCTATCATGAGTCTTTTGGAGTTATCTTAGATCCTTGCATTGGTAAGAAGAGCCAAGCCTATGAAAGTTAGTCAAGTTAGTCATCACACAATGTGGCTGTTACTATGTACAATGTTCTCCTGGTTCTGCTCACTTCACTCAGCATCAGTTTATGTAAGTCTTTCTAGGTTTTTCTGAAGTCTGCCTGTCATCATTTCTTATAGCACAATAATATTCCATTACATTCATATACCACAACTTGTTCATCCATTTCCCAGTTGCTGGACATCCCCTCAATATCCAATTCTTGGCCACCACAAAAAGAGCTGCTATAAATATTTTTGTATATGTGGATCCTTTTCTTATTTTTATGATCTCCTTGGGATACAGAGCTAGTAGTGCTATTGCTAGGTCAAAGGGTATGCACATTTTTATAACGCTTTGAGCATAGTTCCAAGTGAGCACTGTAATCTTGGAGACAGCAGTTTCAATTGAGTGATGAGGGCTGAGAAATGAGAGGGAGGAAATAAACATCTTTTTCTAAGACTTTGGCTGTCCAAGGCAGGAGAAACAGAGTGATTGGCAGAGGATATCATAGGTTCACATGAAGGTGGTTTTTTTTTGTTTGTTTGTTTTGTTTTTTAATGGATATGGAAAGCCTGAGTTTGTAGATACAGAAAGAATGAAGACTATAGAAATGGTTGATTGTGGGGCAATGTGTTGGAAAAAACAGGATTAGGGTGGAACTGGAGAAAAGAAAAAAGAGAATGGGGAATGATATGATTTAGAAATGAAAATGTAAGATGTGTCTGCCCCGTGTAGAACTGAAATGGGTATTTTATGTCCAAACCTCCATTTTTGCCAATAATGATTTCATTATCCCCAGCCTTAATTTTTCTCTTCTATTGGTCTGGTCTGTTCACTACTTCCCAAGCATACCTTCATCCTTTTTGACTCCATAGCTTTGCTCATATAGTTCACTGCTCTTAGTACATCCTCCTCTTCTCCAAATCTTGCCTATCCTTTCAGGCTCAATTTAACATCCCTTCTTTTCTTTGAGACTTCCCTCCCCACTCCAGTCTGTGCTTCTTTCTCCTCCTTTAGAGTCTTTCTAATCAGAGACAGGGTGCTGGAGTCAGTTCAGACCAGGTAGAGCCACTTGTAACATTTTTATTGGGATCATTTACACCTTGGAAATCGGCAAACTCTTCAAATCAAGACTTGATGTATTGTTTTGTTGACTGGGAAGATGTTAATGCAGAATAAACTTTAAAGTGTGTTGAGTGGGATTTTTGAGAACTGCTTGTTTAATATTTACCAGTGCACCCCTACCTATAATGCTTATTTTCTGCACTACTCATTTGATACTGAAAATACATATTTCCTTCTCTTGTTAGAATTATCTCCCCAACTTGATTGTAAGCTTCCCATTTTATATTTTAAAAATATTTACAGGGGCAGCTAGGTGGTGCAGTGGATAGAGTACCGGCCCTGGATTCAGGAGGACCTGAGTTCAAATCCAGCCTGAGACACATAACATTTACTAGCTGCGTGACCCTGGGCAAGTCACTTAACCCCACCTTCTAGCCCAAAAAAAAAAGATACTTACATGTTCCCCACAATTCTTAGAGTTCTTCTCTTCTGTGTATATCTTTTTCTATTTAGCCAATTCTGCTTTTCAAGGTATTCTTCTCTTCATTGGATTTTTGTGCCTCTTCTACCATTTGGCCTATTGTGTTTTTAAGATGTTATTTTCTTCAGTCTTGGCTCCACCCACTCCCTCCCCCCCATTCTTAGAAAGTAGTCCACATAAGAAACATGCAGAAAATAATTTTTTATTTATTTTAAAATAACATACATACATGCATGCATACATACATATATACCCACCCCAAAACTATACCGGAAGAGGGAGGTATATTAAGCGCTATCAGAGAAAGCTTCCTACAGGATGTGGTTGTTGAATAGTATTTTAAAAGAATGAGAAAAACAAGCTTTAAAAGATACAAAGCTGGAGAGCATCCTGCAATAGAGAAAGTTATATGTAAAAACTTTAGTGAAGTTCACAGTTAGGAATGTGGTTTGGTAAACCAGTTAACAGGAAACACCACCCTGGGTATTAAGTGGGGAAGTATAATTAAGCAAAGAGGAGCAAATGATTAGAGATTGTTTATTAATTGCAAGATTAAATGTTTTATTTCAGTTAAGAGGCAGTTGGGACCATTTTAGTTATTTGGGGATGACTAGCCAAAATGTTACTTATGGAAAAAACAATTCTTGCTGCTATGTGTAGATAGATTAAATAATGAGTTGGTGAGTAAGCTTTATAGTGTTCAGTAAATTCTACCATTACTTCCCAATAAATCTCATAAATACCCATTGAAAGGTACTCTCTCTTAAAAAGTAGCAGTTAAGGAAAACCATCAAATACAGCAACAAACTTGGGCAACATTCCTGTAGACCACCACGTCTCAACACAGACGAAGTGCATTCCAGCGTCAGTCATCTGGAACCCACACTGGTCATCACATTTGATCTGAGTTCTGTGGTGTCTTCATTTGTATTATTGGCCATTGTGTCCATTGTTTCAATTCTACTTTCTTCTACATCTGTTCATACTAGTCCTCCCATGTTTTGCTGATTCCATTATATTCATATACCACCATTTGTTCAGACACCTGCTAACTAGTGTGTACCTAAATTTTGTTTTAAACTTTTTGCTCCTACCAAAAAAGTGCTGCTATGAACATTTTTATATACATGAGGTTTTTATTTTATTGATTTCTTTGGGTTAAAAGTCCAGTAGTTGGTTTGCTGGGTCAAAGACTATGAATATCCAATTTACTTTCCTCACATAATTACAAATCGTTTTCCAGAATTGTTAGACCAATTCCCAGCTCCTCCAGTAGTGGATTAATGTTCCTGTCTTCTCACAGCCTCCTCAGCATCGACTATTTCCATCTTTTATCATCTTTGTCAACTTGACAGGTGTGAAGTGATACTTCAAAATTTTTTTTATTTGCATTTCTCTTATTAGTCATTTGGAACATATTCTCACGGATGTTCATAATTTGCATGTTATTTTAAAAGCTGTTTATGTCCTTTGACCACTTATCTATGGGGAAGTGGCTCTTGGCCTTATATATTTGTGTCAGTTCCCTAGGGAATTTGAATGTCAGAGTTTTGTCAGATATTGGATGCCATGATTTTTCCCCCCAATCTATGACTTCTCTTATTCTAGTTACATGGATTTTGTTTATGCAAAAGCTTTTAAATTGTAAATAAATGAAACTGACAGTTTGTCTTTTTGTCCTTAATTTCTTCGTGCTTGTCTGGTTATGAATTTTCTTCCTAACCACAGTTGTGAAAAATAACTTTCATTCACTAATTTTTTTTAATTAATTTATTTTGATTTATCAGCAATCACTTCTATATGCTTTTGAGTTTAAAATTTTTCTCCCCCTTCCCACCCTTCCCAAGATGGTGCACAATCTGATATAGGCTATATATATACATTCTTATTAAACATATTTTCAGATTAGTGATGTTGTAAGTGAAAATTAGAACCAATAGGAGGAACCACCAGAAAGAGGTAACAAAACTCAACAGAAGAGAAAAAAAAATAGCAAATAGTATGCTTTGATCTATATTCAAATTCCATAGTTCTTTCTTTGGATATGGATCATTCACTGATTTTTTTAAATAATATGAATTCTTGGATTTAATCTCTTGTCCATTAGGAATTAATTTTAGTATATTGCATGCAATGTTGCTCTTAACCAGAGGTTCTTAACTTTTTCTTATGGCTTTTTTGACTCCTGTGGCAGTCTGGTGAAGCCTAAAGACCTTTTTAGAATAATATTTTTAAATGTATAAAAGAAAACACATAAGATTACAAAGAAAACTGATTATTTTGAAATAGTTAAAATTTTTTTTTTTTTTTTTTAGCATTCATGAACTCCAATTTTAGAATCCCTGGTCTAAATTAGTAGGCAGACTTATTTTCTAGTTTTCCCATAAGTTACTGAATCTTTCCTTCAAGAGATTATGTTCTTGGATTTCTCAAATGCTAAGCTACTATATTCCTTTGCTCTTGTTTATCTAGTCCATTCCATTCATCTCTCTCTTTTAAACCATTGGTAGGCTTGCTTTATTCTTTTTTCTGGATCTATTGTTTGGTCAGTAAGTGACTTGACATACAATAGATTTGATTAACATAATTTTGATTTCCTCTCAGGTTGTATCAAACAAATGTACAAGAAGCTAATGAAGTTAATTGGGAACACCTTGCTGGCGCCATTGGGTAAGAACATTTGTTTGATGTTAGGCTTATCAGAAATAATATTCATGTAATATAAATGTTTCATTCTAAAGAGGTGGCCTGTAAATTTTTAGGGACAACATGAAACTAATATGTAAGATTTTTAGAGAAGTACTGGTAAATTCACTTCATATGAAAAGGGAATTTTAGGGGCAGCTAGGTGGCACAGTGGATAGAGCACCGGCCCTGGAGTCAGGAGGACTTGAGTTCAAATCCGGCCTCAGACATGTAACACTTAGAGCTGTGTGACTCTGGGCAAGTCACTTAACCCCATTGCCTCGCTAAAAAAAAAAAGAGAGAATTTTACATACTATAAAACCTAACCAGTAAGAGATGAATGAGTTTTCATTTTGCTCATCTCTATGACAACAAACATTTTTTACTTTTCTTTTGTGTGACTGATCATAATATTGACCAAACCATGCTGTTGTCAGACCTGTAAGGCCTTTCATTTTTCTTTTCAAATGAAGGATCTGCTTTCTCTCCCTTCCCCCTTAACCCTTATTACAAACATGTGTAATCATACAAAACGAATTGGCCGTGCCCAGGCTAAACTTAAAAGTATGTCAGGTGGGCTTTCGGAGAGCTGGTTGTTAAACACTTAGCAGCCCAAACCTGCCTATAAAACTCTCTTTACTCATTTGACACTCAAGCACACACTCCACCTTCTTATTAGACTTGTCTCCCCAACTTAATTATAATATTATTAAGTTCTCCATTTTATATTTCTAAAATACTTTTATGTCCCCTGCAGTTCTTAGGAGAGGACGATCAACATGACAATCAGTAAATATTTGTTGATTGATATAAAATAATACACACATAGCCAAACTGGACAAGGAAAACCAGGTGTAGGCTGAGGAGGCTTCCTGGAGGACGTCTTTGTTGAGTGGGGCTTTAAAAGAAGGAAAGCCTCCAGCATATCTTCATAGAACTTAGCAGCTGCCTGAAGAGTGACGAGCTTTAGCTTGGTCAGCCACTAACCACTCACTGGTCTCATATCTCCCTGCTCTCTTCACTGTCCTTGCAGCAGCCATCATTAGTGACCACAGCTGAGCCCATCCAGACCCTTAGCTTGGGGAAAAGAAGGGAACAGGCATTTAGGAAGTGCTTACATATATATATATATGCCAGACACTGTCCTAAGCCCTTCTACAATTATCTCATTTGATCCTCACAACAACCCTGGGAGGAAGGTTCTGCTATTATCCTCATTTTATAGGTAAAAAATTGAGGCCAAAAATTTTTATTTTTTTTTTTTATTTTATTTTATTTTATTTATTTTTTTTTTTTTTGAGGCAGACAGCGGTTTGGTGACTTACCCAGGGTCACACAGCTGGAAGGTGTCTGAGGCTGGATTTGAACTTAAGGCTTGACTCTGGACCAGCACCTTGTATACTCTGGCACCTCCTAATTGCCTCTGGGCAGCTTTGGAACACCACTACTGCATATGCCAGCCTCCTCTACTGTTGCTGCCATTACCTCTAGACTGGAGGCCTGCGTTTGGGGCAAAATTGCCAAGAGATGAGACTGCTGTAGGGTTTGTGTACTCAGATGCTCTTTTTAAAGATTCTCACCCAGGATGGAAGTGTAGGGGCTGCTCACAAGTCCAGTTCTACTCCAAACAGCATGGGAACTTTGACCTCCATTTCTATCCTGAGCTGGTTCATCCCTCCTTAGGCCATTTGTGGTCTTTCTCTACCTCCAAGCTCACCATGTGAATGCTCAACTTAGTACAGACCCTCAATCACCTTAGCCTACTGCAGTTCATAGCTGCAGAGATCTGCCAGCCTCAGCCTTCCCAGTGGCTGGGATTATAGGCATACACCCCATCTGGCCACAACTGCTTCTCCATGTGGGGCCACTCTGACCTCTGCAGCCTATCCATGAGCAAAGATCTGGCAGACCTTTGCCTTTTTTTTTTTTTTTTTTTAAAGCAGAGGTACTTGATTTCTTAGAATATAATTTTTTAGTCCAGAGGCAACATGATTCCCAGTAGTAATATATAAGAATAGGAGGAAAAGCCCGATCTATTCCACTATGTCTCTACATGTTTATTATTCAGTTGAAATATTTACCAGATTCTTATTTTATTGTTCCAAAAAATCTAGAATACATAAACTTAACGTTGTTAAATATACACAAAGCACTTAAAATATTTGTCTATTTCTTCTGGCGGTGCTACATGGCATCAGTATTCACCAAATAGCCATCATTAACCTGTTTAACTACAAATGATTCTCTTCTTAAAGACTTCATAATATCTGTTTCACATTTGATATTAAAATCAGAGTTTTAGAATTGGAAGAGATGTCAGCAGCCGTCCAGTCAGACTCTAAAGGCCTCTAAGTGTTGGGAATTTTGTCCCGCCATCAGCCTTAACTTGGTCTCTTTGTAACTTCTACTCATTGCTCCTAGTTCTGCTCTTTGACCAGACAGAATAAGTTTAGTCTCTCTTCCTTAGGACAAGCCTTAAATTACGTGAGGATAGCTATTTCATTCACCCTGAGTCTTCTCCTCTGGATTTTTTCTACCTTGCCATAGCAACCTGTTCATCCTGGAAGCTCATTTTGCCCCCGGGGACTGGAATGTGTAGCCATAGAGATCTGAGGGACAAAAATTTAAGTTTCCAAGTAAATAAATTTATTAGCAAGGCTAGCAGTTTCTAATAAATGGATCCAAGACCTCAGTAGGTACAAAGACACCCATGGAGGACTAACAGAGCATCTTTATAGTCTATTAATGAGGAACATAGCAAGTTTACATAATCTTGGGCAACACAGGCATTCCTTTATTCTGATTGGACAGTAAATTGATACATTTCTGTCCACCACCTCTGGATTACTTCTGCCATGTGCCTCCTTCAATTCCTGCTGTCATGCTCCTGAAGGGAAGTGGCCGGAAATCATGGAACCAAGCTAACTGGGTGCAAATTTATGTTACCTAAATTCAGCTGGGACCTCACTTCAGTAAGACAGTCCTTTTATTCCTCTCTAATTGATTCTTTGTCTCACTCTCCACAGAAACTTTTCACATCGTTTCTTTCCTCAAGCTTTCCACACCATCACCTTCCCCGTCCCTATCATTTGACAACCTTTCTACTTCCCCAGACGCCGTATTCTGACCTATCTTGTCCCCTGAGCTTCAGTCTTGTGTCTGAACTGCCTATTGGACATTTCGGTCCTTCCCCCACGACTTCAACTGTCTTCCAAACTTCTTTATTTCTTTTGAAGGCACCATCCTTCCATTCTACCAGGTTCATATTTGTGGCATTATGAGACAGCTGGTGGCATAGTGGATGGATGCTGGGCCTGGAGTCATAATAGGTGTTTAATAAATGTATATAATGCATGTATTACAACAGTAATGATGATACCAATAATATACTTTTTTTTCATAATATTGAATTTGTGAGTTGGTAAATGCTAAATATAGATATATTCTTCCTTTTTATTTTTTCTTTTTAGAGATGTTCCTCCATCCTATGTTCAATCTAAATTTTATAAACTGAAAGCTACCTGTGTCCCTCTTTGGCAGAAGAAGACCTTCCCAGGTCAGTAGTCTTAATTTTGCAATATTACTTCCCTTTGTGGCCAGGAATGTTTGGTTTAGATCAATGATTCTCAACTTTTGAGCTGTGAACCCAGACTACAGATTCACATCAAGCATTACCACTTTGTTCTCCATTTGACCCAAAAAAATGTGCAACATGAATAATGCATTTTATATGATCAATCATTCATTTATGCTAATAGGAAAAAAACAAATTCTTATTAGTCTTGGTGAGTTAGTAGTTTTTTGTCATGCTTTTTCTCAACAGATACTAATATAAATATCATCTACTATGGGGGAGAGGGTTTGTGAAGTTTGTTTTTTTTTTTTCTGGTGAGGCAGTTGGGGTTAAGTGACTTGCCTAGTGTCAGGTGTCTGAGGCTGGATTTGATCTCAGGTTCTCCTGACTAGAGGGCCAGTGCTCTATTCACTGTACCACCTAGCTGCCCCTGTGAAGTTTTTTGACAGTAAAAAGAGATCCTGAGGCAGGTAGGTGGCGCAGTGGATACAGCACCAGCCCTAGAGTCAGGAGGACCTGAGTTCAAATCCAGCCTCAGACATTTGACACTTACTAGCTGTGTGACCCTGGGCAAATTGCTTAACCCCATTGCCTAGCAAAAAAAAGAGAGAGATCCTTTTTGCTTGAAAAAGATTGAGAACCATTTGTTTAGATGACATTCTATCTTAGGGTATGTAACAAAGCAATTTAAAATCTTTACTTAAATGTCTGGTGTACTACAATATATCAGTAGATCTGATCCATACATCCTCAGTGAGGTCTTTTGTGGCACTTCTTGAATGCAAATCATTTAACTTGCTACAGTTTAACTATACCCAGCAGGCATCTTTCTGTGCCCTTTGGGCCAAGAACTAGGAGAACATTGTACACAGTAGTAACAGTATTGTAACGATAATTAACTGTGAAAGACTTAGCTACTGGGATCAAGACTGATCCATGACTTTGAAAAATGCTGTGTACCTCCAGAGAGACAACTGATGAACTTGAGTACAGATTGAAGCATAATTTTTTCACTTTTTTTTTTTTTTTTTTTGCAGCATGACTAATAAGGAAATGTTTTGCATGATTTCATAAGTATAATAGGTATCACTTCTTGCCTTCTCAGTGGGTAGAGGAAAGGAGAAAATTTAGAACTGAAAATGAATTTTATTTTAAAAATAAAGTAACAATATGAAAAATAAAAACAGGACAAGAAAAATAAAAATTTCCATTAATAAACTATACTTAATATAAAGAAACAGTCATAGTAGACATCTCCCTGGAAAACCCTAACGTGTTGGCTAAGTATCAGAAGGCATATAGAAACATAGGCTTTTAGAATTCAAAGGTACCATAGGTATCATCTAGTCCAGCCACCCACTGAATGTAAGCACTCATTGTTGCTGACAACTGGTCATCCTGTCTGTGAATACCAGTGCTTTATGAGGCAGGCAGCTTGTCATATTGTTGGACAGCTCCAGTTAGTGCTTTCTTATGCTGATCAGAAACCTGCCTATGACTTTCTATGATTTGACTCTTGTTTCTTTAAGAATTGTCCCAAATTTGGCCTTTTTGGAACAAGACAGAAGTCAATTCCCATTTCCATATAAAATTCCTTTTTAATAGTAGATGACAGACATCATGCTTCCCTTCAGTTCCCCCTGTATTTTTTTTTTTTTTTCAGGCTAAAAACATCCCAGGCCAAAAAAAAGAAAAAAGGTCTACTTAACTGGTCTGTAGTTTTGAGACTGTACTTCATGCCCCATTTGAAAATGGGATCGTATTTCCTATTTCCAGACCGTTTACACATTTCTTTTGCTCCAAAATTTGTGAAAGATCACATCTGCAAGTTCTGTCACCCTGGGGTATGATTTGGTCGAGGCTGGAGACTTGGGCTCCTTTAAATTTCTACAAATAGTGTTCTCGCTATCTCATCACCCAGCTTAGGCTACAGTTTCTTTTCCATGTTGTTTGTTCTCTTTGTCCTTTATATTTTAAAAATCATTCTATCCCATATTCCACTATAGATTACAAATAGAATATGTGACCTTAATATTAAAGCTCATACTAAAAAACAAATTAGAAGAAAGCAAACTGTATACCTCTCATACCTATGGGTAGCATATGTGTTCTTAACCAAACAAAGAATAGAGGCAATTACAGAAAATAAAATGAATAACTGTGATTATATGAAACTGAAAAGATTCTAAAAACCATTTTCCTTAGTGTACAAGACAGCAAAAAATTGGGAGTCAAGTAATTCTTTTTCTAGGTTACCTATGCAGCTGTGCCCAGTGTTCCTGGTTCTTCATGATAGGAACTCTATGATGAAAAGAAGATTTCTTGGTGAAAAGAGGATTCAGGAATAAGCAGTTAGGATGACCTCAAATTATAATTCCTTTTAGGTTAATTTAACCTGTGATCTTCTCCCACTCCATCAGTGTTGGTCCTTTTATGAAGTTCCTCTAGGTATTCTATGATAAGACCTCTTAAAGTATTTTAAAAATGCATATTTATGGATATCTTTTATTTGTTTACATCATCACTTCCCCCCAGTATTCCTTCCCCTACATCTCTGGAGAGACATCCCATATGACAAATAGTATTTTTTTAAAGAAAAGAAGAAAGAGAGAAGAAAAAATCAGAACTGATGAGGATATTTTTAAAAAGTCTCCAAATATGTGCAATGTATAATAAACTTGTAGACTTCCCATCTCTGCAAAGGGATGGGATGTGGGGGTATCTCCTCCTATATCTTTTTGAACCATACTCATTTTTTATAATTTTGCAACATTCATTTTTAACCTTTGCATATGTATGTGGTTCTTTCCATTTACATTGTTTACATTGTCATATCATTGTGTATTCTGTTTTTTGGGCTCTATTTCCTTCATTCTTCATCATTTCATGTAGATCTTTCCATGCTTCTCTGTATTCATCACATTTGCCATTTCTTACAGCTCAGAAATATTCAGTTTTATTCATATACCACAATTTGTTTAGCCTTTCCCTAATCAATAGGCATTAATTTTGTTTTAATTCAATTTTATTTCCAGTTCCAAATTTTCTCCGTCCCCTCTTCCTCTTCCCCATCCTTTGAGAAGACAAGAAAAACAAAACCTATTACAAATATATATTAATATAAAACAAATGTCCACGTTATTCATGTCCCTTAGAAGAGAAAGAGAAGAAATCTGCATTCTCAGACCATCAGCACTGTATCTGGAATTGTGGCTAGTATGTTTTATCATGAGTCCTTTGGAATTTTGGTTAGTAGTTGTGTTGATCAGAGTTCCTGTCTTTCAAAGTTGATTATCTTTACAATGTCACTATTACTGTATAAATCGTTCTCCTGTTTTTGCTCATTTCACTTTATATCAGTTCATACAAGTCTTCCTAGATTTTTCTGAAATCATTCCTATCATCGTTTCTTACCACTCAATAGTATTCTGTCATATTTGTATACTATAACTTGTTCCCCAATTGACAGACACTCTGTTAGTTTCCAATCCAATTAGTTTCCAAAAATAGTTGCCATAAATAGTTTTGTATATATGGGTCCCTTTCCTCATTCTTTTATTTCTTTAAGGTATAGACCTAGTAGTGGGGTTGCTTTTTGGACATTGTTCCTAATTGCTTTCCAGAATAGTTGAACAGTGCATTAGTATACCTGTTTTCCTATGTCCCCTCCAGCACTTGTCATTTTCCTTTTTTGTCATCTTACCCAGTCTGATGGTGGTACCTCGGAGTTGTTTTAATTTTCATTTCTCTATTAGTGACTTAGAGCATTTTTTTTTATATGGCTATTGATAAGTTGGATTTTCTTCCTCTTGACCATTTAGTGATTGAGGAATGGCTTATTCTTGTAAATTTTACTCAGTTCCTTTATATATCTTAGAAATGATACTTTTTATCAGAGAAACTAGCTATAAAGTTTTTCCCCTCTATTTCCTTATTTTTAATTTTAACTGCATGAGTTTTATTTACAAAAACTTTATGTAATCAAACTTATTCTTTTTACTCCCATGAATCTCTTGATAACTTGTTTCATCTTAAACTCTTCCCCTATCCATAGCTCTGACCAATAATTTCTTCCATGCTCCATTAATTTGCTTAGGATGTCACCCTTTATGTCTAAGTCATGTAGTATTTTGAACTTATCTTGGTGTATGGCCCGAGATGTTGGTCTCTATTTCGTTTCTGCCAGATTATTCTCCAGGTTTCCCCAGAAGTTTTTGTTGAATAGTGAGTTCCTGTTCCAATAGCTGGGATTTGAGGGTTTATCAAACAGTAGATTACCAAGCTCATTTGCTTCTGTATATTATATAACCTAATCTATTCCACTGATCAACCTATTTCATACCAAATTGCTTTGACAATTACAGTTTTGTAGTATAGTTTGAGATCTGGTACTGCTAGTCCATTTTTTTTTTCATTGATTCCCTTGATATTCTTGACCTTTTGTTCCTCCAGATGAATTGTTAATTTTTTCTAGCTCTATAAAATAATTCTTTGGTAATTTGATTGGTGTGGCACTGACTTATAAATTAATTTAGGTAGTGTAGTCATTTTTATTGACTCAGCCTACCCATGAGCTATTAATATTTCTCTATTTAGCTCTGTATTTATGTGAAGAGTGTTTTGTAATCTTGTTCAGAAAGTTCCTCTGCATGGGTTTTGGCAGATAGACTCCTAAGTATTTTAAACTGTCTGTAGTTATTTTAAATGGAATTTCTTTTTTCTGTCTCTTTCTGCTGGGCTTTGTTGGTAATATACAGAAATCCTAATGATTATGTGGGCTTGTTTTATATCCTACAATTTTGTTAAAGTTGTTAATTGGTTCAAATAGCTTTTTTGTTGATACTCTAGGGTTCTCGAAGTCAACTTTTGTTTCTTTGCCTATGTCTACTTTGTTTAACAAAAAGTACTGCTGTAAATATGAGGTGTAAATGGGGAATTTCTTCTTGTTGGTGGTCTCCTTCGGGTATAAACCTGGTAAGGAGTCTCTGGTCAAAGGGTCTGAACATTTTGGTCCCTTTATTTGCATAATTCTAAATTGCTTTCCAGAATTGTTGTACTGATTCACAACTGCACCAACAATGCATTTATTTTGCCTATATTCTCACACTCTCCCATATCAACTTGCCATCTTTTGTCATTTTTGCCAGTTTTCTGTGTATGAGGTGAAACATCAAGGTTGTTTTGATTTGTGTTTCTCTGATTATTAGTGAGTGGAGTTTTCTTTCATATGTTTATTAATAGTTTGCAATTCTTTTGTTGAGAACTATTTGTTTATATCTTTTGATCACTTTCTACTGAGGTATGATTGATTTCTTTACAGTATTAATAGTTTTGAAGGGTGACTACAAAGTAATGCATCTGATTTTTCTTTTAAATGAAAATAACCTATGCTTAGATATCTAAGTGAATATTTTCTTTTAGAATAATCACCTTGAAAAACTCATTTGGGATCTAGACCCCAAAAAGGAAAAACCCTGGGCTTTCCCACTGGGCCAAATCTCTGGCTTTCCCCTGAGGCTATAATCCCATCAACTGGCCTTTCATTGTGGATTTCCCTCTGGCCCCAGGCCACTTCCCACCTTTAATCCTTTCTGGGCTCCATTCTCTCTTGGCCGTATGGTCCTGGTCCCTGGAATTCTATTACCTCCTAGATTACTTGGCCACTCCTAGATTCCTCCCATAGTCTTAATGTATATAAGGTCCTTCTTGTCTCCATTAAGGTATTTAGATTCTTATAATTTAGCCACTGCCTTACTAATGTTCAGACTCCTTAAGAGTCTGCCCAATATGATGGATGTTCTAATAAACCTTGTCTTTGGCTGAAAAAAAACCAACTATCATTTTTCCAGTGTTGCTGCCATCACTCAAAACATTTTTAGAATTCTTCCTTTCCAAGTATATTCATGTATTTATCCTCATTTATGGCAAACTTTTATGCTTTGAGGGTAGATTTGGTTTTTTGAAATGGCCAGAAGGCATTAGGAGCCAAATCTAGTTACTAACTAGTTTTTGTTTAAAAAAGAATGTGACCATAAAGGAAAAATGTTGATTTTTCTCACCTGGTGGCTTATGTATGTAACACCTTTTCTATGAAGGCATTACAACAATGTTTTTGAGCAGAACTGGAATGATTCCAATAACTATGGTTTTCCAGTGTAATTGTTTTGAAGAGTAACATTCATTTAAATACATGCACTAGAATGGAATGTTCATATTATAAAAATCAGTCGTATAACTTTATGGTCACTTCCTATGAATATTACTACTATGAGAGTATAGTGCTTGGAGAACAACAGTCATTTGATTATGTATTTTCTGTTATGTTTATTTGAAAATCAGTCACTGATATAGTTAAATCACCTATCACCTGATACAGCTTTTATTTAACATGAATTGATTGTAACATTTTTTAAACTACTTCATTAATGTCTCGTTGAATATAGTACTCAAAACAATTAAAAGATAGAGAGGAGGGCCTTTAGTATGCTAAGTAGACTCCCTATGGAAGATCTATGAAAAGCACCATGTTACTATTGGAAAGAGCAATGGATTTGGAGTCAGGACCCAGACTGAAATGCCTTATCTGCCACTTAGCACCTGTGTGTCCTTGGACAAATCATCTAATATCTCAGGGTTGCCGTTTCCTCATCTGTAAAATGAGAGGGTTGGATTAGAGAATTCTGAGGTCCCTTCTAGCTCTAAATCCGTTTTTATGGTTTTATGAAAAAATGGACAGAAACAAGAATTATAAGAGGCTGAGAAAGTATGGAGGAGTTTGTGCTGGTGAAGGGAGACAGCATCCAGTTATCTTGGTAGACTGTAAAATATATCCAGAATGATTTGGATCCAAGAGATATTAGTGTCTTTTGGTTCCATGCACTATTTTGAACCTAGAGACACTAATATCCCTTTGAATTTAATGTAGAATTAACTTAGAATTAGAAGCTTCCACAAAATAATAACAACAGTAGCCAGCATTTATGTAGTAATTTAAGGATCTGCAAAGCATTTTGCAAATATTATCTCATTTGATCCTCACAACAATCCTGGGAAGTAGGTGCTACTATTATCCACATTTTACAAATAAGGAAACTGAGGCAGACAAGGATTAAAGGTTTAAGTGACTAAACTGAAGTTTTACTTCTCTTTAGAAATCATAGACTACCTCTATGAGACCAGTCGCCCATTACTGGAGCAGAGGTTAAAGAGGAAGCTGAAGAAGGAAGGCACAACTGTCCAGGAGCCTGAGGTGCCAAGGCAGTCGTTTCGATTCAAGGACATCTTTTTTTGTGAAAGTGACAGCGAAGAAGAAGATAGGGAAGAAAGCAGCTAAATCTGGGTCACACACAAGTTCCTTTTTTATATTTTTAACTTATTGCACTGCTCATGGTCTTTTAGTCATTTTCAGAATTGTCATCCTTTGAAGAATGGACAGTGACCAGGGAAGGGTTGGGGGGTTTTGTTTGTTTAATTCTGCCTTAACATTATTAGAATTTCGAGGTAGAAAAGACACTTTAAAGTGTCTCCTAACCCTCTCATTTTACAGGTGGAGAAACTGAGGTCCCAAAAGGTAAGGTAACATTACTGAGGCAATAATGAATTTAGGAGAAAAGGAACATTTACTATCTGTGTAAACAGACTTAATTTCTTCATGTGTAAAATGAGAATAAGAATACTTGCACTCCCTACCTCCCAGGGTTGTTGTGGAGAAAGTACTTTGTAAAATTGTCCATTGCTAGCTATATAAAATGACTTTTTAATTAGTGTTTGGTGTCTTGATTTCATTCTGATAAGGTGACTTTTTACTAAAAAAAAAATCTTGTAGTTTAGATCATTAAATAGTTTGGTATATTTGTATCTTAGGTTATCATGAAAATACTATTTGTATTATTTTTAGTTTGATATCCCTCACAAATGGAATGTGACCAATTTCTACTGCTAATGAGTTAAACAATATCTTCAGTTTCTTTTTAAATGTATAGATGGTTCCTTGTATATTTCATTATAGTTAATAAAACAAGTATAAAATCTATTAGATGAAGATTTTTAATCTTGTAATGAAAGTGCATGTATGTTATTTGCCTCTTCATGTACCGCATTAAGATAAATAAAAAATAGGGTTTTATATATATGTCTCTGTATATTATGTATACATATACACACATATCCTTGAAGGGCAGTGATTTAAATGTTAGAAAATCACACATTTTGAGAATTGGACAGGACTTAAGTGGCCGTTTAGTCCAATTCATACATCTCCCCTCCCCAACTGGGGCCAGCAGCAGCCCACCACGGTGCCTGCAAGAGAGTAGCCACCAACAGGGCCCCTTTTCCCCCAACCATCCTTCCAATGCTCCCTCCACACTATTCTTACCCCTATAGGAGAAATTCCTGTTCCTTCTGCCCATTGCCAGCTTCCTGTGGCTGCTCACACTGGAGAGGCTGGGGCTCATAAACTACAGCCCTTCTGGATAGTAAGATTGCGAACCACCAGACAATAGTCTGTGACTATTGTGACTCTGTGACCTGCCACTTGCCAGTTTGGACAGACTGAATTGTGTGCAAAGGGGAGTAATATATAATAGGGTTGGAAAGTTGGATTGGAACCAGGTGGTAATGAGTGATTAGCAATAGACCTTCTGCATATACATTACTTAATTTCCACCCACTTTCTGCATATAGAACTTCATACTGAGTAAACTATATTCCGCTCTCATCTTGGCCCCATGACACCCACAGGCATCATTCTACCCCATCCCCCTAAATGCTGTCCCTATGTATATCTGGTTTTCTATGTATATGATAGTATAAACCTATTCAGGTTTATACTCTTCTTTTAATTCTCTTTTAATTAATACTCTCCTTTTAATTCTCCGGTACACAAATGGCTGTGATCTTATTAATCATAGTAATATTTCCTCCAGTAATGCATGTGCATCTTCACCTGTCTATCATTTGTTAAGCACTTTGCTAGGTGCTACCAAAGCATATACATAATATTCTGTACCTTCTAGGGGCTTATACTGGGTCAGTAAGAAAAGAAGGGTCAGGAGACACAACATGCAATACAAGACAATTTAAGGGCTCAACCACCAATAAGTGAAGAATTCAGAACAAGCTTCCTATAGGAAGTAGTACCTGAATTAAGATTTGAAGGAAGCTATGGGTTCTAAGAGGTAGAAGTAAGGAGAATGCGCATTCCAAATCTCTTTAATGCCACAGAACTAGAAGATGGAATGCTGTGTTGGACAACATCAAGTTGACTGGTTTATGTGAAATGGAGAATGTGTGAAGTGGATTCATATCCAGCAAGGGAGGCAGAAGCCAGATTGTGACAATTTTGGTGACAAGGAGCTGTTTTTCAATTAGCATTTTGTAAAATGTTCTTCAAAATTTGGTCTATTATTAATCCTGCCTAACTCTTCTCACCTTAAAAAAAATACAGTACCATAAGAAACTTAACAAGTACAATAAAAACAGAGTCTCCAGATGATGGGAGGGGGGCAGGAGGTGGCATTAAGGGAAGAGGAACAGAATAAGTATTTATTAAATGCCTACTACGTACCAGGTACTATGCTAAGCTTTTTCCTTTTTTTTGTGCTAAGCTTTTTTGTTGTTGCTTTTTGGCTAGGCAATGGGGTTAAGTGACTTGCCCAGGGTTTTATGCTAAGCTTTTTACAGATATTATCCCATTTGATCCTCACAACCACCCTAGGAAGTAAGTATTATTTGTTCTCCCCAATGCAATTGAAGAAACTGAGGCAGACAGATGTTAAGTGACTTGCCTACAGTCACACAGGTATTAAGTGTCTGAGGATGGATTTGAACTCGGGTCTTCTATCTCTATAGATGACATTTTACTTCCCAACTTCTTTCACTGTCATGAACCCACCTTCCAAAAGTATTGGAAAAGCCACAGAAGCCCAGACAACACAACTTCCTTTTTTTTTTTTTAAACAAAAACAATAGGAAATTACAATCCTAGTCCCTCCCTAGTGATAACCCACTCAGTTTCTAGTAAGTATATGTATCCACAGATGTCCCACATGAGACATTTCTAGATATCCTCTAGTGATCTCTTTTCATGGTTACTATTAGATTGTCAGGAATGCTGACTATATTCCTCTCTTTTAGCTCTGATAATACGTTTGCAAAACAAAGATAACAGTGACGGCAAATGTCACTGAGAAGCCTTCTACTCCAATCCTTGGGTGGGGAGAACCAGAGCTAAATTAGGGCTGCTTTACAGCAATTGGAATGTAAGGGATCTTTCTGAAAGTTTTAAAATGAAAAAGTTTCTCCTATGTATTTCAATTCCTATATTTGGAGTCAAAGGCCTCCAAAAGAATGACTATCTGGTAAATCAATAGCCACACAAAAGAGGAGAAAAAGATAAAACTCATACTTAAGATTTATATATCCCAATGAGGTTTATTATAGGCTATTTTTACAGCCAGCAAGAGGTAGGAGGGATGTTGTGTTTCTCCTAGTCTGTTTCCAGTTTGGAGTGGTAATAGGGCAGCTCCATTGAAGGCTTCCCATTCTTTTATGCAGGAAAAGTCCGATCTCTGACATGTTTTAGGGATGTTCTCTTACTTTTAGGGAGTCTCCAGGGTGGTAGATATACTGTGATGTGTCTCTCCAATTCCTCTAGTCACTCGCAATTTTAATTCTCCAAAAACCATGGTATTTTACAACTTTATTGTAGCTGCAAAATTTCCAATCAGCCAAAAATGGGCAACTGAGATAGGAGCAATGATCAATTTATTTAGGGAGACCAATGGTCCCTAAGTAACTGAAATCCAAGCTCTTCCTCATGACCAAGCACGCTCACTGCTAGAAGGTGGTCAGTATTTATACAGATTGAGAATACACTAAAAATAGAATGAGCCAGTACAATTTCATGATTGGTTAACACCTGAAGTAGGGTAAACTCTATCATTGGTTTCAGGGCATGCACATTAATCATAACCACTTTGTCATCAGGCTTTTAAGTCATTAATTCCTGGTTATTAACTGAAGGTTTTTCTCAGTAAAGGCATTTCACCTGCCACCTCAGCAGATATTTTCATAGGAAATCAAACAGCTGGTGTTTTGGTCAGCAGTATACTAAGAAATAAGGAAATAGTATGCAAAAGGCAATGTCCCAAGGAAGCAATGACAATGATTTATAGGGATGAGGGATCTTGATACTGCAATAACAATCTCCAGGGTTAATGTAATATGTAATGTAATATGACTATAGCAGTCATATGATTTTATAATCTACAGTGATATCACTAATATATAATATCAATATCACTAATACATAAGAAGGTTTTTGGTCCTAACACACATAACTCTTAATGTAACAATATATCTATATCTGTCAGTCTAAACTCTATTCTTATAAAATCACCATGAATTGAATTAAATACTGATTAAATTTAGTAGGAGTATCAAAATTTTCTTCACAGTATAAGATGGATGCCCATTGATTGCATAACAGCTAAAAAAAACTATAGTATGTGACTATAATGGAATATTATGCAATAAGAAATGTTAAATATGAGGAATTCATGAATTGTGGTTCTATTTGTAAGAACAGATGCAGAACTGAGAATATGTATATCCAACGACTATAATGTAAATGAAAAAAATCACTAAAAGGAAGTTGAACCTTGAGTAATGGAAAAACTAGTGTAGGTTCAGAAGAAGAAATAATGAAACATAACTCTAGTCTCAAAACAGAGGTGGCTAGGTGGCACAGTGGATAGAGCCCAGGGCCTGAAGTTAAGACTGGAGTTCAAATCTGGCCTCAGACACTTAGTAGTGCCAAGCCACTTGGCAGGACAAGTCACTTAAAATCTGTTTGCCTCAGTTTCTCCAACTATAAAATGGAGACAACAGCACCTACTTTGCAAGGTTGTTATGGAGATCAAACAATATTTGTAAAAAGCTTAGCATAGGGCCTGGCATACAGCAGGCACTATATAAATGCTTATTCCCTCCTTTTCCCCTAACCCCTTCATAATGGAGAGGTAGGGAAGTACTGGGATAGAATATTATATGCATTGTCAGATATAATTTTCATTAAAGTCAGTCAATAAGCACTTATTAATAAGCACCTACTATATGACAAATACTGGGACTATGAAGAAAGACTAAACACAATTCCTGCCCTCAAGGAGCTTACATAATTGTTTTTCTTTGAGACAATGGTGGGATTCAATAGGAGATGAGGAAATGATTGTGATGCAGACAAAAGGCATAAAACCAAAGTTGGCCATTTGCTTCACAAAGAAGTCCTAGAGCAAGCCAAATGAAATCCATAATCACTAAAGGAGCATTTGGCTTCATTCTCAACATAGAAAAAATAAAGTTGATAAATACCTACTGGCAGACTATGATGTACAACTGTATGGACAAGCCCTAGATCTAGTTCATCAGTACATTTTTTCATATTTTAAAAGCTGGACAATACCTAGAATTAAATAGACAAATTCCATACACACACACACACACACACACACACACACACACACACACACACACAAAATTATTCTCTTACAACAATTTAGTAACCATGGCAAAAAAGGAAATGAGGCTAGTCTGATATGACCTCTTTTTGATGAAACCATGGGGGCTCTTTATAATTACTGTTTCCCTTTCTAGATGTTCATTAACCATCTTTTTAATGATTTATTCTAAAA